AACGATCGTGACTCACTCTCATGGCATCTTACATATAACTATCATAAGAAACCTATATGGTGACTGAGTCAGTCAGAAAATAATAGAGAATTCGCAGTTGATCGTTACCTAAACTTAATGGAGACCTAAACTATTATCTGCGCCAAAACATCGGAGTTTCTGAGTTAGTTGGCGTTATAAAAACCATGAACCATTTACCTAACATTTATCCCCACGAAAACATAACTTGGAAAATACACATTCGCTGAGAACTTGATTTTCTAAAAAATGAATTCGCATTCACTGGGAATTCATTTCGCTATGCAGTGGATGATCATAATGCGTATTGATGTAAATGGTGTGCTTCCGAATTCTCTTTTATTTTCTGACTACTATCTGTACCAAAATACAAGAGCAGTGGTTGGTTCTTGAATAGCACCGTCACGTTGATAGATAGCGATCTGCGGTTTTCAGTAATCGGAACTAGATACTTAAAGCCAACTTTTCCTAAGCAAACAGTACTTTTGAAAAGGCTTCTAAAACCGTTTTTTCAGAGGATCTTTGGACAATCGGGTCACGGTTTCCGAAATTAACGTGAGAATGTAATGATTTTTTTTTAGCTCGAGGCGTTCTCTTCAAAATGAAAGTAAAGTGAGACCTTGATTTTCTGGGGTTCGGGCGTTGTATCGGATTTCCGACGAGTCCCAGGACTGGCATCCGGTGACTCTTGGTAGTCTTACAGAGGGATGGGCTATGGATAGTCGACCATGCTGAGCCTCGTGGCAATATTTGTTTTTAGAAAATGTTTTAAGAATCCACCAAAAAGGCAGTTTTACGAAAACTAGGGTTTCCAGGCCGGTTTAACCTTATAGTAAAAAGTGAACTCACTATTCATTCAAAAAATATCTGAACAAGTTCAAAACTTCAGAATGTAGAGTATTGAAGCTATTCTATATCCTGTTCATAGGCGATCTCGAAAGAAATTTTAAAAAACCCTAAGGTTTCCCAGAAGGTAAATTTGCGCATAGCTAGCTTTTTGGTAGATTCTTAAAACATTTTCTAAAAACAAATATTGCCACGAGACTCAGCATGGTCCACTATCCATAGCCCATCCCTAGTTTAGGTCATAGTAGTTTAGGCCTCCATTAAGTTTAGGTAACGATCAACTGCGAATTCTCTATTATTTTCTGACTGACTCAGTCACCATATAGGTTTCTTATGATAGTTATATGTAAGATGCCATGAGAGTGAGTCACGATCGTTACCTGACCCGGATGGTGACTTGAACTACTATCCGTTTCAAAATACAACGTACTCGGTTGGTTTTTGAATAACTTTTGTTAGAAAAAAGACAAAAACTTGCGGTTTTCCCAACTCAGTAGTCGAGGTTATTTTACTTTTTATAGGAAAATAAACGTTGTCACGTTAGTCAGAAGCATCGATTATCTATGCATTTTATGTTTTTGAGATTTTCAGACCAGAAGAAAGTCCAATACTGGTGGTTCGGAAAAAACCGTGTCCCCTGAGAAACCAAGGAAAACTAAAAGGTCGCTTAGATCTCATTTTGTAGAAGACACTTCTGACTATCTGTCTATGTAAAATAATCAATAGATTGCTACTTTAATTTTTGGAAAACCAGTCTTTGAAATTTATTCAGAACTAGTTTCTACTGGCAAAAGCATGTCTAAAAGTTGTGGCTATATAATGCTGAAAAGTGCATGTTTTTGTCTCTTTTCTAAGAAAAGTTATTCAAACAACAACATGTTGCATATCGAAACAGTAAAGAATAATTCAGTTCGCCGCGAATGTAAATTTTCCATAATCGCCACAAAAAGGTAAATGTATTTTGCAATAGTCATTATATTTTTCTCCTCAGAAAAGACCACACATGAGTGCTCAAGCAGTATCAGTATTTAACAGAAAAACAAATCAGTTAATTTTGTATTCATGTGAAAAATCATGAATTATAATCCTGCTTTTAAGATTATTGACATTAAGAGTTTATCAAATGTTTCGTCGCAGCTCGTTAATGCTTCATATCGCAGTTATTTGTTTAAATGAATTAGTTATACGTAAAAAAAACAACCTTTCAATATTTCGAACGCACCATAGTCACTTAAACAGAAAATTATACCTGTTTCACAAAAAACATCGGTTTCAGGCACGAGCTGAGAATATAGAAGTGAGTACGATATGATCTTTCACTGTAATATTATTTTCGTCTACGAGGAATAACTATACGTTTAACTAAAAGTGATAGCAACGTATCACTTTTGTAGAGTTAGTAATTTAGTTGAAACAATTCATAAGTGAATGATCTTTCTCTGCTCATCGGAAATCAACAAATAGATTAGACGTATTTTAAAATAGTTATATGTGCTACAGTAATTCTGTATGAAATGCAGAGAAATACTGTGCTAATAAATATACGTTAGAAAATTACATGTTTTCTTACAAAAAGAAGCTACATTATATCTGCACAAAGTGCTTGTCTTCAAGACTAAAGTGAATTCCAAGTACAGTTTTGGATTTATAATTTGTATTACGATATTTTATTCTTCGATTATATTCATAAGAGCATCATCATAATTCGTTCTCAGCTGTCATATCATCACTCATCTTACGTTTTAACTGTTGCTGTTGAATTGTAGACATTTGAACATTTGAGTTGAGAAAATCATCGGTAGTAATGCGACTATATACATGACCCATTGTATTCGTTAAATTTGACCAATAAACAAACAATGTGATAACAAATAATATAAATGCAATTAATGTTTCACCTGCAATTGTTAAATTACATATAAATGAATAATTCTTTGGCGGTTCATAAATATAATGACCACCGCTAACCATTGACATTAAACTGTATAGTGTCATTAACATTAGCATATTAATAGATCTCATTTGTCCAATTGTACAAGATGATAACAATTTTCGACTCGCAATAACAAATACAATTGATAGAGGAATATTAAACAGAAAAGTTAGTTCCATCTCAATAATAACAATTTTTGAATAAAGATCTTTTGGTTCGAAATATGCAGCAGGATCATAAATATTATGAGCATAATGTGAAACATGAAATAAAATATTTAATAATAATATTACTGGTACAACTAATCGATGAAATAAAGTTTGTTTCAATGTAAATCGATATTTAGTATAATTTTCTATGACATCGAGAAATGACGCAATTCCAATAAGAATGCATATAATGATCATACAAACTCGAATTAATGGAAGATGATTCAATGATTCTGATATGAGAACTTCTTTATTACGTAATGTACTTATTCGAAATATCGGACGAGAATCAGAATTAGTTGACATTGCTAAATGATTAATATATGGAAAAAGCTATTTATTAAATCTAAAACGAGTGAACAACGTCTATGCCTTAGAGAAAAAAGCATAGACAACAGGATTTTAAAAAAGGACTGGCAAGAGCGAAAGAGGTATGAAAATGGCATCTGTAACCAAATTGGCTTAGTACAACTTAAATGGTTTAGTAAAAACTAGAGTTCGGTAGCCATTTTAGAAAGCCCTTTTCCGTACGTTGAAATATCCCCATCTAAGAACTCTCTTAAACTCGTAGAGGCTCTAAGGCTTTTGTACTGATATTTTCCCAAATCCTTGTAAAAGGCGTTGAATGTAACCTTCCACGATCTTTGGGACACATTTGAATATACGATCAGCTTTTTATACTTTAAGGCTCTATTAGAAAGGCTTGCAAGTTATTTACTAAAACATTCAAAAGGTTTTCAAATAAAGCTCTAAACTATTTTCACATTTATCAGTAAAATACTCTTCAAAAAACTCTCGCTCGCATAAACTATTTTCATAAGAGGTCTCTCGTCAACGCTTTATTTTTTTGAAGTATAGGAATCTATATTTTAACGGAATGGTTATTGGCACTCTCGGTATTGTCAGCTAGGAGCTATTGGCACGCCCATAAAGAAAACTTTTGCTGGGAGTGTCAGTAAGGATATTATATGACATATGAACGGTCTGACGTCTGAGCGTTCCGCGAACTATATGTTGACTAGCAAGATTCTGATTGTATATTCGAAGCGTTATGGACGAGGGATAGGGCAGGTAGATAGCGAGAGTGAGTGAAAAAGCGGAAAATCTAATACATAAAATTGGTGTAACAAAAACTTATAATAAGAGAAAATTTTCTAATATTCAGTGTCATGTTGAATACTCAATCCAACCATAGTTACAGAAAGCAGGTGAGTTCAAAGAAGTTTAACATTGCGGTAGGCTGTATAAGAGATCTGCTCAGATTGGGTTGCTTAAATATCGGATGATCTCCTTATCAATTGTCATCTATTAGATTTTTAGCTTTTTCACTTACGCTCACTATCTATCCGCCCTCTCCCCTCCCCGATGAACGAGATGCCCATGACGACGCGAATATACAATCAGAATCTTGCATCTCAACGTATAGTTCGAATAACGCTCAAACGTCGGGCTGCTCATATGTCAGATGACGTCCTTGTTAACACTCCCAGCAAAGTTTTTTTACATGGGAGTGCCAATAGCTCCTAGTTGACACTGAAGTTGTCAATAGACTCGCCCATATTTCAATGCTACAAAAGATTTTCTTCATGTCGCAAAATTATTAACTTTCTTTAAATAGCAAAAATTCTCCATAGTTCTATTACGTAGTCATCGATGCCACCCGAGATGTCATCAAGTTTAAAGAGTCAAACGTCCGTTGCACATTTTAAAATCTATCATTCGAAGGAGCTTGAGAAACTGAATCAGGTGAACATAACCTGAAGTGAAAAATTAGTTTCGCATCCTAAAACTCTTTTGCTTACCAAGAATTGTAGATTAGAATGTTCGTATTCACGAATGTAATTTTGTAAGTTATGATTCCTTATCGTTCATGAGATGTACGATGTGTGGTCAAATAGTGAAAAACAAAGTCAATTTTCGTACATTTTTGTGCGTTAGTTAGAAAACTGAGAAGTATATTATCTTATATAGAAGATTATGCTCTACAATTTTACATATTTAAAAATATGTCTGAACGAAAACAATGAATTAATGGTCGTCACATTGAGAGAGATCTGACGGTCTCAACTTAAAAATGAAATCACTCTCATACAGTTAAAAAATAAGTCAAAGAAAGATAAACAAAAAGCCATGTGACATAAGGTCATTGTAACGTCGAGTTTGTCTACAGATAAAACACTCAACTTTGACTGTTTACATGAATGAAAAAAGAATGTATGAGAAAAATGAGAAGATGAAAGAATTTATCTGTCATGTAAATCTACGTATACCAACAGTGATAGTAAAAATAGAAGAGAATAAAAGAAAAGAATTCTTATTTATTCTTGAATAAATGTTGTAGCTAAAAGTCAATTAGTTTCTTGATTCTAATTTTAGCCAAACTTAAGTTTAAATTCTTACTGCCCAAGCATGAAAAATAGAAAAAGTTGAATCGGATTATCGGCCGATACATCTAGATACAGTCGATTCATTTCCAGATGTATCTGGTTATGTATCTAGTAGCAATATATCGAGAGATGAGTCTAATTGTGTACCGGCTCCAGATGAGACACGCGTGAAATCGGCCGATACATCGTATAATGTGTTGGACGATACATTATCGGATATATCGATCAGTTCATCTACTTGAACATCGTTTTAAATCAAGTTCATCCCGTCTTATCATTAAAATCGGACGATGCATCTACTGTAAGGCGATTTCCAACTAGATGCAACTAGTGAGAAATCGCCTTGTTGAGAAACAGTAATTATCGTTTTGCACCGTAAAGCTCAAATTGTACAAAGCTGAGCCTAGCAGATAAAATTGAATTTCCTACATTTCATCTGCTAGACTCAAGTTTGGGAAATATCTCTTTCATAGTGAAAACCACTTTTTTAAGGCTAATTTTCATTTTTTACCACAAAGGAAATACTTCTCAAGCTTGAGTTTCGAACAGACAATGTAGAAAATTTAATTTTTTAAATTTTATCTGCTTGGCTTAGCTTTGTTCAACGAGATCTTTAGGATAAAAGACACTAAAAAACGTTTTTTAGTCTGAAGATCGGTTGCTAGAGATTCGACACCAACACAAAAATTTTAGAAAATTTAATTTCCAATATTCTGTGTTCTAGACTGAAGTCCAATAAATGCTTCCACCATGGTGGGAAACGCTCATTATTGTTAATTAGTTATTTTAAATTTAGTTACTTTTATCCATAACAAGAAAGAGAATGAAAAATGTATATGTATTTGTGTAAGCTCGCATGGTAGAATGCCGTATATAGAAGACTACTGATCTCTAGGTATAGAGTTCGAATCTCTGCACGAGCTGTGTTTCTTTTTTTTTCTTTTATTTTTCACCTCGATTTACAACTAATTATATCGCTTTTATATCGAGCGATTCTTTTTTTTAAACAGCTAAATGAATTGTACGCTTAATCGCTAGATGTATCTAGTTCTTATTGTTTTCTATCAACCATAATTTGTTAATATCGGGTATTGCATCGTGTAAAATCCGATATTTTTCACTCTTTTATCTAGATACTTTTGCTGGAGTATCGGACGATACCCCAGCAAGTGTATCTAGATTTTTTCGCTTACGAATTGGGTGAAGATTGTAAGTGAAATTCCAAACTTGGCTGGCGACCTTCAACCGGAAATCAAATTAAGATTTGAATGTTATTGTGATTCTGAGAAGCAAAAAATTATTACCACCAAAATTAAATATGCATCATAAAAGATAAAGTTTCAAGTAGTTATGTGTCCATTTAGGATGGCTTAAACGAAATACATTTTTTAAAAGGAAACCTCTAGAGATGTGCAGAGGCAGCTGATTTTTGTGCCCTGAGCTCTGCCCTATAAAAATTTTCATGACCTGGACTTGTTCTGCCCTATGGCTTCGATACCCTTGCCCTGCTCTATGTAATTTCTTGAATTGTGCTCACTTTTAAGTGTGATATGTAATTTATTCCACCAAAGACACGTGTACAAAAATTATATTTCATATCTGAAATTTCATAATAACAGAATATTATCGACAGTTTCATCACTTAGGGAAGTCAAAATTCGCATCGGTGAATTTATTAACTGGATTAGAAAGAAAGTTTAGTACAGTATGGTTCAGTCTGCCTGAAAAAACGAAAAGAGGAACTATCGTATAACAGAAAGAGCATGTACGTATATATTATTTTCTGTACTATACTTGACGTAATTAATTTGTATATTTAATCGGTATTATTTAGGCTATGTCCTAATTGCGAACAAAAATTAAGCCAATTAAGATCAAAATGTTCGCAATATGGAACACAGATAATATCGTTGATCTCATTTGTATCATTTTTCCAAATTGCGAACACTTTGATTAATTAGTTGCTTTAATTAATGATTATGCTTCAGAACAAAGTTTAAAATTATTAAGTGAAAATTCTCATTGGAATGCAGACGGTACTTTTCGCACTGCGCCATCATTATTTACTCAAGCATATTATATTCATGTTTGGGACGAATTTAGCATGAAAGCAGTAGTATATTCATGTTGTGAAGACAAAACCGAAGAAGGTTATCGTCATTTATTTACATCATTAGTTACTTATGCAAATACAAAAAACATTACATTAAATCCATCATCAGTTTTAATAGATTTTGAACAAGGTGCAATTAATGCAATTAATTATGTATTTCCACAAGCATTAGTAAAAGGCTGTCATTTTCATTTTGCTCAAAATGTTTGGAAGAAATTAAAGAAGTATGGATTAGTTAAGTTATCGAAAGAAGAAAATATACGTCGTGGAATAGCAAACATCATCAGTTTACCATTAATACCTCCCAATGAAATTAATAATTGTATGGAAAGAATTATCGATAAATTAAGCAATATTAATTCAAAATTTGATAGATTAACTGATTACGTTATAAATAATTACATTGATGAAGGAAGATTTCCTGTTGATATGTGGAATCATTTCGATAATATAGGTGAACGACCACGTACCAATAATCATTTAGAAGGTTTTCATCGACAATTAAATGCGAGAGTTAGAACACATCCTGATTTATGGACATGGATTAATGACGTTAAATCAACAGAAGAAGCTGTGATGTGCCGTTACGAACAAGAGCAAGCTCAAAAACGTACAACACGACCAAGAAAAGGAAGATACATACATGATGATACTAAACTTATATTAGCAAAACAAAATATATTCAAAGTAAGGATATTGATGCTTATAAAACGGTTTTAAGATCTATTTCTCATCGGTATATACGTGTTTTAAAAGATTCTAAAGATAGTAGTGATGAAGAATAATTTTTTGCTGTATTTCTCTTATTAATAATAATTTTGTTATGTATCTCTCTTATCAATAGCTTATCTTGTTAGATATTTTTCTAATCAATAAAATTTTTTCTAATTAATGCTACCACTTGATTATTAAAATGTTCGCAATTTGGAAACACGATAAAAATGAGATCAACGATATTTTCTGTGTTCCATATTGCGAACATTTTGATCTTAACTGGCTTAATTTTTGTTCGCAATTAGGAAGCTACGGTCGCTCTTGAATTATTGTTGACGAAGTCCTGATACTAAAGATTTCAAACTTTTAGTATTAAGATAGCGTATGATAAACTCCTAAAAACCTACTCTATCAGGTTCTATTATCACAGTTTCTGTGACCACTAAGTGTTTCATTCCAAACTAAGGCCTTTGTAACATAGACATTTGTCAACGGCTAATTCCTAAATGCGACCAAAATGTAAGCCAACTAGTATAAAAGTGGTTGCAAATTGAAACAAGTAAAGTTACGGCCAGATCTCAACTGAGATTTTTTTTGCAAATTCACACTCAGTTTTAGTTGTCTGATCTTACAAAGCCAATTAGGACGATTTACAGCTATGAAAACTATATCAACGGACAGCGGAGAAGATAACGAACATTTTGGTAAAGAAGATTTTTGTAAAAAAGTATTCTTGGGGCCGGCAGACCGGTTTTAAGGTAAAGTTGACATGATGAACATGTAAACTCTGTACCTCGGTAGTGAATGGATGAAATTGTTTTTAGACATATCAATAGAAAGAGCAGCAGAAACTGTGTAAGAAAACGACTGATTTACAAGTGTCTTTTCTACAAAAGTCAAGTCAGAATGAGCAAAAAAACAGGGGGCCGTTTTCTGATCTAGTGCGTCCCCCTCATTTATACATACATTTCACTCTTCATTCGTCCCAAGTTTTCCAGTATAATTTTCATATGGTTGAATGATTAAGTAATGCTCGTTCGAACTTTAAATGGCCTTCCCCCTCTTTCTTGTAAAAAATTTCACATTTTGAGCTAAACTAGATAACATTGCATAATGCAGAGGAAGATCTGGGCTATAAAATGAGACAACTTGCAATTCTCCACCGCCTTCCTTGAAAAGATTATGAAATTTTTAAGTTTTTCCTTCACAGTACCTTAGGTAACATTTTTTACTCGAACGGATGGAATTTAATATGACAATGAAGAACCGAGTTTTCTGGGGAAATTATGAACGGTAAGAATTAAGAACTTGAAATAGAAAAGAAAAAAATGCACTATTGAGTTTCTAATCAGTCCTGAAAATATGAGACCATAGTAGTTTTTAGTTTTTATTTCACAGCATTTCTACGGAAAGTCCGAAAAGAGAGGAGGAATACCCTTAAAAAAGAAATACGTTATTGATTTTCATGCATAAATAAATAGGTTTCTCTGGCGATAATGCCATCATTTGTTTATTTTACTATAAGCTGTGAACAATGTATTTCTAATCCATCGTTGTTACACTATTAGTAGTATAACAGTAGTAGTATTTTCTACTGGGAAGTTTAATGTTCTTATTGTTAAATGTGTCCCGTTGGCGAAAATTAAATCGAGAGTTTTGTTTTTAATATAACTCTTTTACTACTGATGAAAACACTTTGACCGGTCATCACATTTGTAGACAGATTTTACAAAGTGAACAATGATAAATTAGAACCTCCATGGGACAACCTTAAAAAATGCATTATTCCTGAAGGAAAGGTCAGAAAGAGCTGAGTGTCGTCTCATTTTGTAGAGGGTACTTAACTATATATTGTGGCATATTTAATTCGAAAATCGAAAGTCTTAATAGAAGAGAGTGCAAGACGTACTCTTTAACAAGTTCAATTTTCAATTTTGATCCCGGTTAACGAATGGTAACGAAAATTTTATTTTACTGACATATTAGCTCCAATCATTGAGTCATTACAGCGCAGGTCACATCACTATCAGATGATTAATCCTTTGTATTTTGAAGCCTACAATTATGCGCGGTACAATAATAGGATTAGATTTCCAGTCTTGTAATGCTGTTTTTGATGAGTCTAAAACTAAAAACTGCACTGTAAGACTACAAAAAAAGTTTTTTTAATAAAACTCGAGCAGTCTTCTTTATTAAGTATTTATATATATAGTGATGTACAAAGATATCTGCTCTTTTAAATGAGATTTGAACTGGCTCTCTAGCATTAATAGCAAAAGTGTTATACGAAAAACAAAATCCTCGATTTATTTTTCGCCAGCTCGATATGCTTAATATTGCCTGGTGTTTTTCTGAAGCAGATTTTATATCTCCAACATCACCAGCATTCGTACAAATTATTCCATCACCAAATTGACATACATTATCATTATATAAAGTCTTTGCTACACTTCAAGATGTTGATCAGTAGTTTATTTTTGCTCCAATTGATAACTTCATTTATTTACCGAATATGACCAAAACCTTTCATATCACTCAGAATACACTCTTTAAAATTATACTTCAAGGTTTGTAGGAGAGATATTCGTTTTTAGAACCATTTTATGTTTTCTTCTACTGTATTCGATCTTCCAACCTTTCATACGCTGTACTTCTCTAACTACTTGGTAGAATAGCAACCAAAAACTGTTATTAGACGCGTTTTTGACTGTTATTAGCAGAGTAGAGAGTGATACGAGAACAAGTGCCTTGACTTAAGACTCCTTGAATCCGACTTATAACTTTAATTTTTACGGTTGAATGTTTTTTGCATAAAAAACTCGTCAACTATTTTATATATATATATATATATTTTGCTTATTTAGAATACTGATCGTGGTGCCATAGAAAATAAAATTGTTGCTTATTGCGACGAGTTTGGTTTTATTGGAAAATAAAACTCATCAGGCAATATTTTATATCTATAACAGGCTAATTAAAAAAATCACTTTTCTTCATTTTGAGGAGCCTGACGACTAGTGTGGTTGATTCTTGATAGTAGAAAGAAGCTTATGAATCTCGGTTTGGAATGGAACGCAGGACAGTGCTGTTCAAGATCATTGCTCTGACCTCTGAGCTATTGAAACACAATGTTTGATACATACTTTTCTTTCTATATGAATATACACTGTTAAATAGTGACAACAAGGATTTTTACTCTACGTAAACTGATTTTTGATCGTCGAATACGTCCGGAAGAGAGAACACACCAGGACTATACAAGACCAAAGCACACATTGTTTAGATGTGTGTACCCATAAGGAGAGAAAAGTGTGCAGAATAGAAAAATTGATTCAAGCAAATCTGGATTCCTTAAAGTAGCATAGATGGGATAACAGTAGGATATAGTATCAGGGATTAAACAAACGACTGGATGAAAACAGATTAAGATCGACGAAATGCACTTTCAAGACAAATCGAAAGGAATCCAAACCAAACGTTTTCCAGAGATGGGCGAGTCAAGCCATTTTTCGAGTCGAGTCGAGTCCGAGTCATTTCGTAGCGAATCTTCGAGTCCGAGTCATTAAAAAAAGGTGACTCGAGTCGACGGCGAGTCATGACTCGGACTCGCCCATCTCTGACGTTTTCCTCTAAAATTTATTGTATATTCCTGTATTTTTGACACTTAAATCCTCTCATTTTGTCCACTGACCGATCCTTTCTCCTATTATTGTATTGGTGTGTAACCCTTGCCGAATCCATATTTTGCTATTCTGTGCAGGCCACTGACCAATCCGAGAGGAAAGCAATTGTATTCTGTCCATTAATATTTGTAACACTAACAGCTCAAGATAAGCTAACATGACTTTATTGTATCTGCATATGTTCGACATTTGTTTTAATAATGTTAACCTGACTGCAACTGCATTTCTAAAGTTTGAAAATGGTACCAGTTAACTGGAAAGTTGGTTTGATCTAATAATAATAATAAGAGACCAACGTTTCCTTCTCTAAACACACCATAATTAGAGCCTCATTATTTATTCAGAACACAATGAGTGGAAACAATATTTCAAAAAGGATTAAAACTAAAATTTTATCGGCAGATTGTACCAGTGAAAATTTTAACTTAGAGATTTATAGTGATTTAAGCGACAGCTTCAAGCAGGACTGTTGAGAAAATAAATATCACTTTGTGACCTGTATTGGCAAGCATGCTTAATCGGAGACGTCAGATGTAGGTTATATTTTCATTTCCTTCTTGGCTGGTGTCCACTCAGCTGGCATTATGGCAACATAAAAACCAATCAAACAAATCAGAGATTATGGACGCAAACTTTGTATCCATCATTCCTTTTCGAATCATACACTGATACGCTGTTTTGACATACCAGACATTTTCGTTCCAAAATACTTCATGCGCTCAAGTTTGTTGCTAAACTTTCTGCAATAAAACTAAACATATTTTCCATTTTCTGAACTGATTTCTATTCTTACTCGCAGACCCCTAACTGTGAAAAACAACTAAATTATTCTGAAATCTGTTGCTATGCTTTTTCGAATACGTTTTCCCGGTTTTAGTTATTTTCACAAAGCCATGCATCGAGTAATGGATCAGGGATTTTATACTTTTTGAAAAATCTGATGTTTCTTGACGATCTGATGCATTCTTGACGAGTCAGAAAATTTTTAACTAAACAATATACGAAACATCCGATTTTTCAAAAAGTATAAAACCCCTAGTCAATTACTTGGTGCATATCCACAGCTATAGAAGAATCACAGATGTTTTTCTGAATTGTAATGAAACGTTACTGAGAAACAGTCTGTTGTTCGTACGCCGACTCAATCGAAAATACATTAACCAGACTCTGTCGTACCACAGCAACCATCTGTTTCTGGATCACTACAATCAATTTAACTACGGCAGGGCACACATATAATCGATCTGAGACATATGCAAACAAAAATTCAGAATTTAGTTAAAGATAATTATAAAAGCTATTGCAAAACCTTGCAAATATTTTTCATGCATTTTATTCTTAAGATATTTAAAAGGAAGTTTTTTCTTGGGAATTCTACTAAGAGACAGTTTCACAAATCTTGGTTGACTTTACGGGGAAAAATTCGGAAGTAAAAGTTCGAAAGCAGCATGGAGAATAAATATTATGCAACAGGTTAGGGTGGAGGATACTAGATTGCCGCTGTTTCGTTTCCATTTTAAGAATCAAATTGCAGCAACTGAATATTCCGAATTGCGTTACCATTTTGTCTTTCCGAGTTATTGGCAGTATCTTTTTTAAAAAATGATTTTACATTCATTCGAAATCCATTAGTATTATTTCTGACGAGCCTCGGTTATTTTGTACTTCTTTCTGCAGTTCAGTCTGTAGTTGACTAGAGGCACTTTCAGCAACTATATACGAACCAATGTGGGAGATTAATTAGTGAATTCAAGCGACTAATTTCTGGACAATTTGCAGTAAATTCATTTACTTCTTGGTATAGTTTTTAAAAATTATAAAAAGTTAAAATTTATTTTATTTATTTATTTTGAGAATGAGAACTGAACACCCGAAACGTTGACTATAAGATAAGGTGAAGATAATTTTCATAAATACATTTAAAGCTGTTGTGAAAATTTAATTTCAGTTCTAATCATTTTCAGCGTCGATCGCTTACTGTTCTACAGCAGATGAATCAGAGTTTGTTAGTTTCTTATACGTCATTTAAAGTAAGTTACAACTATGCATGTTCTACTACACAAAGTCCTAAATTTTTGTAGAAACTCCTACAGTCGAATTTTACTGATTTTTACACACATGAAAAGTACAAACCTAGACCTGAGAAAAATGATATACAGGGTCGGAAAAAATGTTTTTCCAGGGAGGTACCGCTCAAACTACAAATGATATAACAGAGTATTATATTTCAAATTAATGCCCATTAAAAATGAATTTATGAGTATACTTGATAGCCTATACAAAGATTACTGGCTGTTGAAATATGAAAATCTCTTGAATCCTATGGTTAAACGAGCTCGTGTTTTACGATTTTCATTCTTCTAGTACATATTTTTTCAAAATTAATAGCAGATTCGTGATCTCCATCAAAAACTGAATTCATAGACATGTCATTTGTATATTTTTGACGAAAAACATTTTTTCGAAAAAACCCTAGGGAGTACCTCAGACAAAAAAGTTCAAAAAAACTTTTTGAATTTAAATATCTTAATTCATACCTCATTCGACGCAGTTTTTGATAGATCACGAATCTGCTATTATTTTTGAAAAAATATGTACCAGAAGAATGAAAATCGTAAAACACCAGCGCGTTTAACCATAGGATTCAAGAGATTGTCATATTTCAACAGCTAGTAATTTGTTGTATAGGCTATCAAGTATACTCATAAATTTCATTTTTAATGGGCGTTAATTTGATATATAATACTCTGTGACATCATTTGTAGTTTGAGCGGTACCCCTGGAAAGACATTTTTTCCAACCCTGTATACAGAAATGTTGATTAATTATCCTTTTTTTTCTATTTCTAACATGAAATTAATTTAATATTCGACTGTCATAGATTCATTCTGTCCTCCAAATAAATCATTTTGCAGTTATTTCTTTCAGAGAAAGAAAAAAAATGTCATCTGTAGAGATTCATGCGCTAATGAAAAATGAATCTTGATGTTGCGCCGCAACGTCATACAACGAGTATTTTTAAAATTGAAAAGGAAAAATGAATGACAACAAATAATACAGACTTAACTGATATATACGTATAGAAAAATAAATAGAATCATGAATATATTTCATCTTCCAGCTCAAAACATTAAATAGTACTTAATTTCAGAAACACTGATGACAGATCATAACAGTAAAACCGTAGCCATATATTCAGTTCCAAAGTTACGTTGTTGTCAACTAACACATCGAAAATCATTTATTATAGCCATCTGTTTCATATTTATATTATGCATTAAATATGTATCATCACAATATCCTCTATTAGTAATACTGAAGTGGTTATTAATGCAACATAATGTTGATCATTCACCATTTTTAAACGTAACGGGTAAACCAGATGTATTTCCAGATCGAATGCCTATTAATTTAACAATTGCATATGTAGCAGATACTAGTTTATGGAAAGAAGCAAGCTTATTATACAATTTAATACGTTCAGAATCACAGATTGATGCATTAGTTGTAAGTGGTGATTTAGATTATGTTGATCAACCATTAGCTAGGGAACATTTATTAACAAAATATTTTGGTTCAAAATTTCCTATATTCAGTTGTGCAGGCAATCATGATCATAACTTTTGGCCAAAATATCAACAAACAATATTAGATCGATGGAAGCGTTCAGGTATACACCATAAATGTTCAGGTATCATTGGTGTAGCGCATATGTGTACCTACAAAGGTTTAATTATCATACAAATTGCTCCAGGCATATTTGAAAAGTATCGATTTTATGATTATAGTCAATATTTAGAGAACCAATTAAATTTATATCATAGTCAATGGAAAATATGCTCATGGCATAAAAATCAACATAATATGCAGCTCGGTAATAAACAAGATGAAACAGGTTATGATGTCTATAATACGTGTTTAAAACATGGTGCAATGATCATAACAGGACATGAACATAGTTATTCAAGAACATATTTAATGAAAGGTTTACATGACCCAATTGAAGTTTTATCACGGAATAGTACATATATTCAATTATCTAATGGAAGCTCAGTTGTTATTGTTAATGGTTTGGGTGGCTTCTCCGTATCAGGTTATACAAATAATTCAATTGCACCGTATTGGGCTAGTGTTAATCATGCAAATATCAATGGACATGCATCAGCGTTAATATGCAAGTATAACTTCAATGGTAATATGAAACAAGCCTTATGCTATTTAAAAGATATTGTCCATGGTAAAAGAGATCAATTTATCATAGATGTCACTAATATACCAATGAGTTAATCTTGATGCGCCGCCGTAAATGGGGAAACGGACCAGGTTTTGTTGATGCCATAAACATAAATATCGATCTAAATCAAATTATTGCATAAGCTCATAAGCTGAATTTCGATTTAGATCAGGCCAATTTAAAATCAGACAAGTCAAAATTGAAATTAGCTGATAATAAAGGAAGGAAAACGCTAATTGATATCCAATGCTCAGACTTTGAAATGAATACTTGTTTCAAACAGATGGCTGAGGTTGATAAACGAACATAACAAATTTTCTTCATTTGCACTGACATTCGTATTTCTCTTTTGCGTTCTCACCAATCCCGTTATTGTACAGATAAAGGGCAGTTAAGTTCGATTGACTTTGAATGCGTCACTTAATGATCGAGCACCAACATCATCAATTTGGTTATTGGACAAACTAAGTTCTATTAAACTTTTATTGACTTTGAGTCTCTCTCTAAACAGAAAGAGAGAAAATGCATATCATAAAAAGCAGAAGAGTGAATCCATATATCAGAAGAACAGAACGGGAAAATAACCATCGAGTGATGATAAGAATATATATATATTGAAAGATGACAACTATTGATATGAGATTAGGTTAACTACTTCCTAACATATTATATTTGTATACACTTTTTGCGCTTAAAAACAGTTATAGTTGGTTAGCGCAAAGTCTGCTCTATCACAAACTGAAATCAGAATAATTTTGAGACGTTTCTATCAAAGATAATTCAAGTTGCACAAAGCAGTCTTTTATTTTTGAACAGGCTCTAATGGCTAAATCGTACTGCTAACATATAGATATGTGAACTGTGGCAAAAATATTTGAAATTTAGGCTAGATAAGCTTGCCGTACATCTGATAAAGGTATTCTACGATTTACAACTTCGATTTTGATCGCAAACTGATAGAAATCACAAGAGTTATACTGATCTCCCCAAAGTTAAAGTTTTCATGCGTGTAACATTTGATGAAAGGTTATAAAACAATGTAGTTCGTGCAAAATCTACTGTGGAAGGTCTGTTGACTGCCCATTCACCAGAAAGACTGTTTCTACCCTCATACAAAAATTACGTGTAAGGCTGTGTTCCATTAGAGTTCAACACAAACGCTTTAAAGGTAATCAATCAAACTAGAAAATCTGAATTTTCAAAATCCGACCTGTACTGCCAGCGAATCTATTTGCGCTATCGACCTTATCTCATCTTCATGTTTTTTCCTATGCTATTGAAGTACATGAAGCTCTCGGACAGAACAGTGGTTAATAGTACTAAGTACTAATTTTCGCGCAACATGAAAAGTAAACAAAATAGAACTTTCGCGAAAGTGCTTTTGTCTGATGCAAAAAAATCTACTTCTGCTATTCAGTTACATCAACATCTTTAATAGAAAAGTTTGCTCGGTAGTCTAACATATCAGTACATAACATTTCTTATCTACAGTTTTTTGAATATACAAAAAATTGTTCATAAGTAATGTTAAACAGTATTTATGAAAGAAAGACAATCTTTTTTTGTGAAAAAGAAATTTCTGATACGTTCCACGTTAAGAATGTTGCTCTGTACATGAAAGTAATTAACATTCTGTATGTGTGTGTGTTCGATCTGCTTTTGGCACACGCCTTTCAAAGTTTCTGCAAGATCTTTCAATTGGATGAAAACAAAATTTTGGTGTCATCTCTTGAAAAGAGAAATTTGCATCCATTTCAATTGCTTCGGCAGGTCTATTCATATTCGAATATTTAACTGCTATCACTTATTAAAAAATGAATACTTATCAATTCTCCATGATCTAGTTGGTATGCTCCGAAAAGGTATAATAGATCATTTTGGTCGACGAAAAGCTGATTTCGAAAACCGCAGAAATCATTTATACTATTTTTCGAAATCTAAGTTCTGTAGGCAAAAACTGACTAAAAATACAGCATCTCAGCAACAAAGCGCCATGGGCACAAACCCTTTTAGGCTTTTTACTATCTCGGTACATGCTATCGATCGGTATATGAATAATGGAAAACGGAGTTAGACAGTTAGATATGTTTCCTCGTCAGAGAATACAGTTGTTACGAGACGTCCCATAACTCTATCGAACAACCATCGAAAAGGCCATAACATGATATAGCCTGTTCGATTCTCCGTACAGAGTTATGTATAAACCTAAGTTTTGACCTTTATCTGACTTACCGTTCCTAAGAAAATATTTTTTGAACAAGAATATCATCAAAATTTTGAAGAAATGCTTTTAGAGTAATATTGAGCTTCTTGTGAAATCAGTTTTTATCTGATTATTTTGTGTAACATCTCATTCAAAAGAGGACAAAAATTTAAATAAGATGTACCATTTTGTTTTCGAAAAGCTTTAGAAATTGGTATGAAAAAAATTAAAACATTAAATTGCAAAAACTTCTTCAAATTTTATTTTTTCTAACTTCTCTTAAACTTCAACCCTTGTTAAGCGCGGGATGCAAATGAAAATAGATACATTGTGTAGAGCAAACAATTGTCCACAAATTGTACTAAAACATAATTTAAAAAATAATAAAACAAAATGGTGATTGAAAACTAAACTTGACCTCGATACACATAGGTACCCAACAAAAATTTTTTATGGCATCGGTGCGCATTGATGCCAGAAGAATCCAAAAATCTCGCATCGATGCTCAGCAGAAAATTTATTCGGCATGAGTGTGCATTCATGCACAACCGGTGAGGACAAAAACGTTTTTGGTAGGGAAGTTGATCTCCGAAGTTAAGAATTTTCAAAATCAATTTTTATCTATAGAAATTCTATTGTAGGAGCATGAGTGTTTCTGAAAAATCTAGTAAATAAATCAGTTCATCGAAAGCTAGCCTACTGGGACAATCAGGTTCGAGTAAAATAAGACTCTCATTAAAGACATCACCTCTTTTTTGAAAAAATTTCGGATTTTGAGGTGAGCATAGCCTAATGTAGAGGAAAGTGTGGGCTACAAAATGAGACCATTCCCGGTACTCCACGACCTTTTTTTCAAAAAGTTATGCATTTCTGAAGTTTTTCCTTCAAAGCCTAAAAAGCTCAGTTTTTTAGTTTCAACCATAAACTTTTCTCGGCTATAATGCGTAACTGTCACCCTCAGTTGCGGTGGGTTGAGCGATATTTTTTCTCTTTAACTAGCCTGAAAAGCACATAGCTAAACGCGGTCTTTTGCGCTGATTACGAATATCAACTTTAAAACGAACGAAACTCAGATTTTTAAATCGAAAATTCAAATTTCAAATTTGAAAATTTTTTTATTTCAGTTTTTGGACCTACTTAGCTTTTTAAAAGATTTCAAAAAGTATATCAGCGGATAAAGAATTAAATTCTCTGCAAAATACGCTATGACTTTGTCAAAAAAATCTTAAAAAAGGCATTTTACACACTAAACAAGTTTTTGCTGCTTTTTGACGTATTTGAAATGGAACCTTTTTTGGAGCAATTGTACGAAAATCAAAAGCATTTCTCACACCGTTCTTTTTTACTTAGTTTGATACAGGGCACTCGACTGCATAAGGCTCCGTGCAAATCAAATTTATAGAAGTGTTTTAACCGGTAGAAATATAACGATATATATAAAGGCTAAAAAATGTAATTCCGTCATGGCATCTGCTTCGCTCATAAAAACCGTTTTGCTCAACCGGCTCATTCGAAATTTTTACCTGTAAAAGCATTCTACCGTACATCTCTAATAAAAATTTCATCATCTTTTGTTTATTGTTTGAGGAGAAACAGAGCCCAAAAGTTGTCAAAATATCAGAGATGGTTACCTTTCACAAATCGACGATGGTGTTCATTTTGTAAATTCTATAACTTAGCCAGAATAAGTCAGAAAGTTTTTTCATATTTTTTATAACCCCAGTTTTGATAGTAGAACTCGAAAATGAAATAAAAAGCATATATCAATTTTTTCGTTACCAGTCTTTGGCAAGATACTCGATCGACTGGCGAAGTCTCTCTTAAGAATCTCCCTCAGAAAATATTTTTTGTCTTACATCCAATTTTGACCAAACTTCAGCTAATGTTGCACACTGAAAGGTGTGATCATAATATATTTTGTTAACCCCTATTTATGTCGATGTTCCAAAGTTTTCTAGAGTCCTAGGCCGAAAACCACCCTTCGCTGCAAATCCCTTTTCCTTAATACAGCTCAAGATAAAGATCTGGGGTCGGTTTAATTTTAAACCTGACACCTAACTGTGAGAACTGAAATCGCTGTGAGGAAAAACAATCATCTAACTGTAGGACAAGATCTTTTAATTAGGCCTTTGTTGGTTCTCTAGCGACGCAAGATCCTAAAAAATCCTGAAAGGTCCTTTCAAGTTTTCCAAAGTTCCTTTTTTTCTAAGGAGCTAAGGCCTAATTAAAAAATCTGCTCCCGTCAGTCCTCGCATAATTTTATGTTCTTTCGATTAAAAGAAAAATGTCTCTCTATGATGAACCGCTATTACGAAAAGGGATCTACAGCAGACGAGATTAGACAAAACAACGTGTTTTGGGAGAAAACGCTGTACATTCGTTGGTTTGTTTTATGACATGTAGGAAAATGCTTGTAATTTTTGAGCGGAAGATCACACAGAGTTGTGCGACGTCTTATTTTGATCAGAAAAGTCTGCTCTACGAATCGATACGTTGACGAAAAATTTACTTGCTTAAGTGTTCAGAAAAAGATTATTATTTGAAAATTCTGGTTTTCAAGGCTTCCAGAAAACTTGTTCGAAAACCACAAAAAATCAGTTCTAGGCCAAAACGCGATACAAATTCTGAAAGTAGACACTCCAGGCTATCTATCTATGTGCTTGTCTTCAAATTGATTTTTTCATACAAAAAGATTTCATTCTAAGGGGAGGGGACCCTTAAGCCGTCCTCTCATTTTCTGTACATTCAAAGTTTTTCTTACACATAGTCTGATAGAAGAATGCGTATCCGATCGAGTTAAAAGCTTTACCAGAGGTACTCAAGGTCTTAGAGCAGAGGTAGATTTTTGGAATTATATTTTAGACCTTTCCTTATCGAGTTACAGGGTTTCTAAAATTCAAAAAACTTGGTTTTTGAGACGTTTTCCAGTATGTTTCCTATAACTCGACAAGGATAGGTCTTCAACAATTTCCAAAAATCTACCTCTGCACTAAGACTTTGAATACCTGAGAAAAAGTTTTTAACTCGATCGGATGAAATTTAAGAGGGACTGTAATGAGGTTCTATGAAAAGCCGAGTTTTCTGGAAAACTGGCGAACGACAATAGCTAGAAACTTGAAATAAAAACGAAAAAGTGCTCCATTGAGTTTTCAACCAGTTCTGAAGATACGAAGCCTTAGTGACTTGTGGTTTTTATTTCACAGCATTTCTATAGAAAGTCCAAGAAGAGGCGGTACTCTTGCGATCTCACTTTTGCTGCGGGGTGGGGAACCTCTTTCGAACAAGAATGAGATCGGGTAAAATTAAGTTCTGTCATCAAGAATACTAATTTGCTTTTATCATTTGTCGCTACTTATAAAGCAACAATCGATCACCCCTGCAGGACAATGGTAGTTGTCAACACATTGTGCATAATTTGTGTCAAGTACGTTCCTTGAAAAAGAGTTAGAATAACGCAAAAAATTGAGTGGTAATTCAAGATTGTTACTATAACATAGAAAGAACAATTTTTTTTTCTGTATTTCTTTCTTTTCCACCTACAAATTGCTTAGGCCCTTGTACTAATCCTTTTTCAACAATTTTTAACCCATTTTCATACTCATACTTTAAACTTTCGTCCAATGTATGACTGATTGAATAATAGGCTGATAAACGATCATTATTCATACATTCATAAGGAAATTTCAGTAGTTCTTTTGCCAAAGAAATTGATTCATTTAATGATTGTCCATCATCAACTAAACGATTGATTAATCCAATTTGTAGTGCTTCATCTGCATTTACTGTTCTACCGCTTATAATTATATCCAATGCTCTTGACAAACCAATTAAACGTGGCAAACGAACAGTACCACCATCAATTAATGGAACACCAAGTCGACGACAATAAACACCATATTTTGATGAACGTTCGCCAATACGTATATCAGCTAATAATGACAATTCAAGGCCGCCAGCTACTGCGTAACCACTAATAGAAGCCAATAATGGTTTCGATAAAGGCATACGACTAAAAAGAAATTTAAAGATCATATATAGTGGTAGAAAATTCAGGAATCTTTGTCAAAGTGCTTACACGAAAAACTCAACCAGTCGTTTCGATTAATGTATTTCTTAATCCGCATTCTCAATCAACTGAAACCGGTGTATGCCTAGTATTAGTGAAAACAAAAGGAAAAGAAGGAATCATTCATTGCTATTCATTACATATATGTTAATGCATTGCAATCGATTAAAAATTCTTTTCCAGTCCATTACAATCCATTGTAGTATTGTAATGCATCACTAACACAGTTCATGATATCGAAGACATATTTCGAATGATCGACCACTGAGTCACCAAAAAAGAGCTTGTGTCATTGAGACAAAAATTCGTATTTATATAAATTTATGTGCTCTACCTAATATAAAACGCTGAATTGGAAAAATATGCTTTTGTACTGAAATATAACCTCACTGAATATGCCTTTTTGACCTAGGACACAGAAACGAAATATTGTTTTAGTCAAGATCCAGAGTTGGGACCAAATCAACTTGTCATATTCTGGCGTAATTTTGTGAGTATATTAGTGAAATGAGACTTATTTTGAATAAAAAATGCGTATTAGTTGAGATAATGGAGAGTCATGACCCCAAAGTTAACTAAAAGCAAGTCAAAATCCCTACAACTTGATTTTTGACCTTTTTTATATTTGCCAGCGGATGTTTTTATAGTTTCTGATAGAATGAGGGTTGCAGATCCCAATACACTTAGTTTTGTTCGGTATGCCTGCTCCAAAAAAAATATGCCGTATAAATATGGAAATTTTCTGAAAGCCCTCGGGAGATCAGTCGATGCATTCAGATCAAACTAACTGAGACGTTCTGATGGTTTGAGCTCTCTCAAATGATCTTATGATGGTGACACCCGTAGTGATAATCCCGAAAATGGTCGTAATATGGCCAGATCAGCTAAACACTTCACCCTACAGCGGTCTATCCCAAGCAAAAATGAGTGCCCAAAAAAATCAATCTAAAAAGCTTGTCAATGCTGCTTCCCAAGCAAAAATCGTCTATGGAGAGGAGCTAGCTCCAACACAGACGTAACCGGACGGTTATCTACGAAGCGGAGCTAGGTAAATGTACCTTTTTACCTAGTTAGCTAGCTCAACCTAGTAGT